GAGGAGGGGGGATAAGGGGAGGGGAAGGGAAGAGGAGGAGGACGAGGAGGAGGAGGATGAATAGGACGAGGAAGAGGATGAGGAAGAGGAGAAGGCGGAGGAATATAAGAAGAGTAGGGAGGAGGATGAGGAGTAGGAGGAGCAGGAGGGGGGAGGGAGGGCGGGAAGCAGCGGCAGCAGCAGCAAGCAACGGAGCGCAGCGTCGTCGCCGTTGCCGCTGCTGCTTCCGCCACTGCTGCCGCCAGAGCTGCTGTTGTCAAAGCCGCTGGTGCTGCTGCCGTTGCTCCTTCTCCTGCTCCAGGTCCTTCGCTGCTGCTGCGGCTTCGCTCCTCCTCCGTCCTCCGTCCTCCCTCCTCCCTCTCCTCCTCCTCCTTCTCCTCCTCCGTCCTTCTCCTCCTCCTCCTCCTCCTCGTCCTCCTCCTCCTCCTCCTCCTCCTCCTCCTCCTCCTCCTCCTCCTCCTCGTCCTCCCTCCTCCTCGTCCTCCCTCCTCCTCGTCCTCCCTCCTCTTCCCCTCCTCCCTTGCCCTCCCCTCCCTCCCCCCCTGCTGCTGCTGGCCCCTCGCCCTTCCTTCCCCCGCTGCCCCTGCTGCTCCTGGCCCCTCTCCCCTTCCTTCCCCCTCCCCCCGGCAGCGCGGCGCGGGGCGCGCGCGGCGCTCGCGGGGCGGCGCAGGGGAAGGCCGCGCCGCCCCCGCTGTGCACCGCCTCCCGGCGAGCCTCGAGGCGGGGCCGCGTCGGCCCAGCGGGGGGGCGGGGAGAGGGGGGGGGAGAGGGGCGGAGGAAGGGGGGAGGGGAGGGGCGGAAGAAAGGCGGGGGAGGGGATGGGAGAGGGGCGGGGGAAGGGGGGAGGGGGCAAGGGAGGGGAGGGGAGGGGCGGAGGAGGGCCCGAAAATCAAATCAGAAAACTTGCGGGCCGCGAATAAAACCTCTTGGTTCCCACGCGAGACAACACGCACGAACAAAATAACGCTGGCTGTTACGTGCGGCCGAAGGAGAGGAAGAGGAGGGGGGGGAGAAAGTGGAGGGGGAGGAGGAGGGGGAGGAGGAGGGGAAGGAGGAGGGGAAGGAGGAGGAGGAGGAGGACGACGATGGTTTTTGTGCACAAGTACAGGTGTCTCGATTTCTTGCCTCATTTTAATGAGGGCGTCTCGATTTCAACGGGACGCCCCAAAATCATGTAGGCCCCGACCGACGAACGGTTCGGAGCGGAGGAAGATAATCATGTCAACGGGCACGATAATGTATTGGTCCAGAACCACGATATCTGGAAGATCCTGCCGTTCACCGCTGAAGCCCCACTGTGCACATCGAGGCCGACTTGGCCATCGTTACGTTGTGGGCAATCCAAAAATCTCCACGCGCGCGGGTCACCATGGCCACCCGCGCGCGCGCATGCGTCTGATTCAGCACATGTAGAAACGACGTGCTACTTTGGGAACCCAAGTGGGTGATCGCTAAGGTTGCACGTTTCATTATCAGGCCAGGGTGACGACATGTTAACTGTGGGCAGTCCAGAACTCTCCGCGCGCGTGCAGGTGACACGTGTCCCCCGCGCGCGTCACTCGGCGACCGCTAAGGGGACACTTGGATCTACGGGCCAGCATGGGGAACGCTATCCTGGAGCAGGCGGGGAAAACATGTTGACTTGAAAAAAATGCGATCGGTCACCGGTAACGGTTCACCTTACTCTCCAAACAGACATGGCGACACCTTTATTCTGGACAATTCAGAGCGACCCGCGCGCGCGCAGGTGGCGCGTGTCACCCGCGCGCGTGGAGAGTTTTGCGCTGCCCACAGTAGAGGACAAGCAAAACAAACATTCTGACGTGGAAATCGAATCGGTGACCGCTAAGTGCCCATTTTATTTTTCCAGGCCAACCTAAAGACCTTAAATTGTGGACAATGCAGACGACACCCGCGCGCGTGTGTGACACGTGTCACCAGCGCGCGCCGCTTGGTCAGCGCTCAGGGTTGACTTGTGTATCCAGGCACACAATGCGAATTTTCCCATTATGGACACTGCACGATTCTCCACGCGCGCCAAGAAATACTGAGTAATTGAGTAGACGGGAGCAGGAGAGAGAGAAAGAGAGAGAGAGAGAGAGAGCGGAGGATGATGATAATGATGATGATGAGGAGGAGGAGGAGGAAGAGATGATGACGACGATGATGAGGATCATGAGAGAAGGGCACAGGAGGAGGAAGAGGAGGAGGCGGAAAAGGAGGAGGAGGAGGAGGAAGAGGAAGAACAGCCAAGTGCCAGAGCGGGAAAAAAAGGAGCAGGCGGTCGCCCTCTTCCTGCCGCGCTGTGCGCCGCCGCGGTGCCACAGCTCGCCGCGCTGCTGCCCAGTCGCCCTCGTCGTCGTCCGCGTCCTCGTCTTCGTCGTCGTCGTCGTTGTCGTCCTCGTCGTCGTCCTCTTCGTCGCCGTCGTCGTCGTCGTCGTCGTCCTCCTCCTCCTCCTCCTCCTCTTCCCGTTTTTCCTCCTCCTCCTCCTCCTCCTCCTCCTCCTCCTCCTCTTCCGAATCGTCCTCGTCCTCGTCGTCCTCCTCCTCGTCCTCCTCGGCGTCGTCGTCGTCCTCCTCCTCCCCCTCCTCTTCCTCCTCCTTATCCGCCTCCTCATAATAGTCCTCTTCCTTCTCTTGCCCCCCATCCGCCTCCCCCTCCTCCTCTCCATCCTCCTCGTCGTCCCCTTCCTCCTCCGCCGCCTTATCCTCATCCCCATCTTCCCCCTCCTACTCCTCCTGTTTGTCCTCCTCCCCCTCGTCGTCCTCCTCCCACGCATACTCCTCGTCATTCCAGTCTGGTTCCTGCACCTACTCCTGCTCCTACCCACGCTCCTCCTCCACCCTCTTGCACCCCCCCCTGCCTCTCCTCATCACAGCCTCCTCCTCCTTCTCCTCTTCTTACTCCACCCCTTCCGCCTCCTCCTCCTCCTCCTCCTCCTCCTCCTCCTCCTCCTCCTCCTCCTCCCAGGCGCCCTGTGCCGCTCAATGTTTCTTGGGTTTGGCCTTGCTCTTGGCCTTTCCCTTGGCCGTGCTCTTGCCCGCGGCCTTGCCCTTCGCCTTGCCTTTGGCCTTTGCCTTGCCGGCGGCCCCGTCGGCCGGCTTGTCCTCCACGCTCAGCTCTCCAGGGGAAGGGGGGGCACCACCCAGTGCAGTTTGTCTTTCTCTTGGCTTTCTCATCTCCCTCCGCCTCCTCCTCCTCCTCCTCCTCCTCCTCCTCCTCCTCCTCCTCTGCTCTTCTTCCTCCTCCTCGGGACAGTGAACGACTGGGTGCAGACATGCGTGCACATCAGCCCCTGAGAGAAACGATTCGCCCTCCCGCTGAAGTCGCACGCGCGCCTTGCGTGCAGGGGCCTCCACACAACTCCAGCTTCCCTCTCACCAGTGGCAGTGGCGGGGGTTCGCTGGATCGGACAGGGTCGTTTCCGTCCCAGGTCGCATCTTTTTTTCTTCAAAAAGTACCAGCAGATATTTGGAAAACGAGAGAATTTTCTCGAAATCGAGAATATTTTCTCGAAAACGAGAAAATCTTCTCGTTTTCGAGAAAATCTTCTCGTTTTCGAGAAAATCTTCTCGTTTTCCACATGAATTCTTGCAAAAAGCAACACCGGGAAGCAATTTCGGCGGACGGTTTGGGGTCCCAGTCACAACGAAAATGACCACTCGTGGACCAGCATTGGTGCCCCATACCGCACGGCGACGACGACCACGGGGTCGACGACGACGACGACGGGGGCGACGACGACGACGACGAGGACGGACGACGACGACGACGACGACGACGACGACGGGCGACGACGACGACGACGACGACGACGAAAACGAAAAAAACGACGACGACGACGACGACGACGACGACGACGGCGACGACGAGGACGACGACGACGACGACGACGACGACGAGGACGACGACGACGACGAGGACGGACGACGACGACGACGACGACGACGACGACGACGACGGCGACGACGACGACGACGACGACGACGACGACGACGACGACGACGACGACGACGGACGAGGACGACGACGACGACGACGACGACGAGGACGACGACGACGACGACGACGACGACGACGACGACGCCGTCCTCTACGGCAGAGCCCTCTCTGCCGCTCTGGGCTCATGTCACCTTCCCCAGGGTCGGCCTTTCGGGGTGGGACGTTTATGGCGGGCCCCTGGGCCAGAATATGAAACCCCTGACGCGCAGTCAGTCAGTCAGTCAATCAGTCACTCTTCGTCTGCCAGGGGAGACAAATAACGAATTCCCTCCGCTATCGCCGCCTGCGAAGCCCCGCGGGGCGCGGGCTCCACCCCCCTGGCTATCAACTCAGAGGGCCGTCCTCGGGCTATCCAGCCCCCTGGCTATCCACCCCCCCGGGCCAAAAAGGTATGAAAAAATTGTCATGCCTTTTTCTGGCTGCGGCGGCCCCCAGATGTGGGGGGGAGAGGCGGCCGGGCGGGGGGCGGGGGCCAGGGAGGGAGGGGGAGAGGGGGGGGAGGGCGGGGGGGGTAGGAGTCCTGAGGCCGGTTCCAGGGAGCCGGCGGCTCCTGGCTGCCCTAGAGCCGACAAGACACCGATACCGGTACTCTTCGGACCGCATCCTCCTCCTCCTCCTCCTCCTCCTCCTCCTCCTCCTCCTCCTCCTCCTCCTCCTCCTCCTCCTCCTCCTCCCACATCCTCCTCTTCCTCGCCGTCCTGGTCCCTTCCTACCCTCCCTCCTCCTTCTCGCCCTCCTCATCCTCCTCCGCCCCCCTGGGCTCAATTGCGTACCGTTTCTGCTGGTTCGGATGCCCTCTTGGATGCCTCTTGGGGGCCGTCCTGGACGCCTTTGAAGTCATGCGGGGCCCTCCGATGCCGTCACGGAGGCCTTGACATGGCCTCAGATAGTCCACAGAGCGCCTGAGGGCCCCCGTGGGGTTGGAGGGCCTGGATTGGAGTGGAGTGGAACAGCATGGGGCGATCAGCATCAGCATCAGCTACATCGTGCTCATCGCATGCGTTTCTGCATCAGCGTCGCCATCGCCATCATCAGCACGCCGTTGGCTCAAGCATTCTGCTGCCGCAAGCCGCTGTTTTGCTGTCGCCCCTCAGTGCAACATGGCGCCCCGCAAGGCTACGAGCCGCAAGATGGCGCGCGAGCAGACCATCGCGCATTCGAGGACGAGCTCAGCAGCAAATGCAGGAGCCAACAAAGGGAGTCAAGCACGGCAGGAAAAAAACAGGCCCTTGCGGCTGCGCGCGGTTACGGGGAGGACGTCAATTTCGCGAGCGAGCGCATCAGCGGGAGCTTGCCGCTAGCGGAGAGGTCTGGGCAGCCACGCAATCAGAGCGAGAGGGGGCGGGGAGGGAGGGGGCGGGCAACATCTGGAATCCATGGTTTGCGCTACCGATTGCCGTGGCCGCCCAAAAGGGGTACATTCAAGCGTCTGCTTGAGGAGGCCAGCCAGGGGACCAAGAAGCTCGTCGTCGGCGAAAGCCGCGCGGTGGCCCGCTTGGCCAAAGTAGCCGAGGAGATTTTTGACCTCAGCAAGAAGCTGGGCGTGACAATCATCGTAGCGGACTCGCCAGGCCTCTTCGACCACGACGCCTGCCAAGTGCAGGTCTTCATGCGGCGAATTGAATTCGCACGCGTCGAACTGGAAAAAGACTTGGTGAACTACCGATTGAAGGACGGCCGGGGAAACCGAGCCAAGAACATCAAGAAGAGCATCAAGAAGACCAAGCGGCTGAAGCACAAGTTGTCCCCTAAGATGATCACGGCGAGTGGCGACGCCAAAGTTTCGGGGAGGAGCTCCACCCTGGAGAAGGCGGGCGAGCTGAAGCCGAACCAAAAAGTTGCGATCAAGAAGATCATGAAAGAGCACGGTGCTGGCAAAATCGGCCTTCGAACGGCGGCGGCCCAACTCTCCAGCGCGTTGAAATTCACGGTGGGGGGCCAGGAAACAGTGTGCCATTAGGCTGCTGTGCGTGCTAATGACCAGCTCGGCTCCGCGATGCCCATATGGAGTCGTTTGCCTGTCTCGAGACGCCCTAATTAAAGTGGGGCAAGAAATCGAGACACCTGTACTTGCGCACAAAAAAAAAACATCCTCCTCATCCTCCTCCTCCTCCTCCTCACTCCCCTCCTCCTCCTCCTCCTCCTCCCCCTCCTCCTTCTCCCCCCCTCCTCTTCCTCTCCTCCCGCCTCGCGCAACAGCCCGCGTTATGTTGTTCGTGCGTTTCGTCTCGCGCGGGAACCAAGAGGTTTTATTCGCGGCCCGCAAGTTTTATGATTTGATTTTCGGGCCCTCCTCCGCCTCTCCCCTCCCCTCCCTCGCCCGCCCCCCTCCCTCGCCCTCTCCCCCCCTTCCTCCGTCCCGCTCCCCTCCCCTCCCTCGCCTTCCCCCCCCCCCTCTCCCCGCCCGCCCGCTGGGCCGACGCGGCCCCGCCTCGAGGCTCGCCGGGAGGCGGTGCGCAGCGGGGACGGCGCGGCCTTCCCCTGCGCCGCCCAGCGCGCGCCCCGCGCCGCTCCCGGGGGAAGGAAGGGGAGAGGGGCCAGGAGCAGCAGGGGCAGCGGGGGAAGGAAGGGCGAGGGGCCAGCAGCAGCAGGGGGGAGGGGGAGGGCAAGGGAGGAGGGGAAGAGGAGGGAAGACGAGGAGGCGGGAGGACGAGGAGGACGAGGAGGAAAAGGACGGAGGAGGAGGAGGAGGAGGAGGAGGAGGAGGAGGACGGAGGACGGAGGACGGAGGACGGAGGAGGAGCGAAGCCGCAGCAGCATCGAAGGACCTGGAGCAAGAGAAGGAGCAACGGCAGCAGCACCAGCGGCTTTGACACCAGCAGCTCTGGCGGCAGCAGTGGCGGAAACAGCAGCGGCAACGGCGACGACGCTGCACTCCGTTGCTTGCTGCTGCTGCCGCTGCTTCCCTCCCTCCCTTCCCCCCTCCTCCTCCTACTCCTCATCCTCCTCTCCTTCCTCGTCCTCTTCGTCGTCGTCGTCGTCCTCCTCCTCCTCCTCCTTCTCCTCCTCCCCTCTTCCTCCACTTATCCCCCCTGTCCTCCGCCTATATTCCTATCCTTTCCTTCCTCCTCCTCCCCTTCCTCCTCCCTCCCCCTCCTATCCTCGTCCCCCTTCCCCCCCATCCTTCTCAGGTTACCCCCTCCTCGTCCTCGTTATCCTCTCATTATTCCTCCTCCTCCTCCTCCTCCTCCTCCTCCTCCTCCTCCTTCTCCCATCCTCCTCCCATTTTGTGTTGTCGAGGGGGGGCGCGCAGACAGCGCTTTGGAGTGATGGGCCCGCCAGCTTAGCGGCAGGTCTGTACTTCGAACGTGGCCGAAACTCGGGCCCTTACTTCGGGCAGGAAGGTGACGATAATGGCAATGAGGGAGAGGGGGAGAAGGAGGAGGAGGAGGAGGAGGAGGAGGAGGAAAAGGAGGAAGGGGAAGGGGAGGCCCGTCGACTGTTTTGGCTGGGGCGCCCGAGGTCGAACCCGAGATTCTTACGTATTTAGATTCGCGCTAACCGCAGGGTTGGTGGGGGACGGGGGAGGCGGCTACATATAAGCACGCTGCCAAAGTCACGGCCCACGGCAATATGTACATCGAGCGCGCAGGAGGCCACAGCACAGGGTTGGGGAGAACTCCAAATGGCGAGCCAAAACTTGATGTTTGTCGCTTAAGGGCGGGTCGCAGCGAGGATCGCGGGCAGGTCGTCGGGCAGCTCGCGGGCAGGTCGCGCGGCGGGTCGCGGGCAGGCCGCGGCTCGGGCCGCGGGGCGACGACGACCAGACAAAAACAACACTCCGCATCGTGGATTCTTTGGTCAACTACGCACCTGGGGACAGTGTAAAACAGTTCGGCCCCCTCGCCCTGACGCAGTGTTCCGCGTGGTTGCGAGAGGAGGCGCCCCGCGAACCTGACTCTGGATGCGCCTTCCTCTGCCGTGGTTCGATTCGAAAAATACGCGCTTTGTTTCAGCGCGCGCTGGGCGACGAATGAAGCAGTCAAAAAGTAGTGCGGAAATTTCCGCCGTACTTTCGTGAGGCGGCAATTTTCCGCATTACTTTTTCGCCTCTCTCGGGGTGCATTTCCGACGCAATTTTAAGTCGGAGAATCAACCAAAGTACCGCGGATCCGGAGTCAGGGTAGTTCCACAGAAACTCCCTCAAACTATTGCGCCGACGGGACTTCTAGTCTCCCTGCCAGATACGGGCTCCAACCTGCCCTGCTTGAGGCCCTCCCTCAGGCGAGGTAATCGTGATGCCTCCGCCTTTACCAACGCACCTGCCCATTCCCCAGCCTTCAGGAATGGGCATCGTCGGATTCCGCGGGCAGTCCAGTCGAGTCGGGCGGCGGCACCCATCAGCGCTCTTGGCGCTGCGGCGTGCGCCGCGAAACGTATCACCAGACGGAGAAGGAGCGGTCAGGGAGGAGGACGGAGGAGGAGGAGGAGAAGGACGGAGGAGGAGGAGGAGGAGGAGGAGGAGGAGGAGGAGGAGGAGGAGGCTCGAGACTCCAGACGCGGCGATGCCCGCGCGCGGGGGCCAGGTCCACAAACAGACGCGACACGGCAGACGGCACAGCGACGACGCGCCGGCGAAGCAGGCGGCGGCGACAAGGGGAGGAGGAGGGAGCAGGAGGGGCGAACAGGGAGAGGGAGGAGGATGAAGCAAGGGGAGCGGCAGCAGGACGAAAGAGGAAGAGGAGGCGGAGGAGGCAGGAGGCGCGGCCAGGAGGGGGAGTTCGGAGGAACGAGGGAGGTGGTGGACGAGGGGGAGGAAGGAGGGCGGAGGAGGGAGGAGGAGCGATCCGGGAGGAGGGAGGAGGAACGACTCGGGAGGAGGAGGGGGCGGAGAGAGGAGTCCTTGAGGTGCAGGTTCTCGCGGATGTGCTCCTGGGCGCCGCGCCCGGCTCGCGCTGAGCCCCCCCCTCTCGCCTTTCAACCCTTCCTCTTCCTCCTCGACCTCCTCTTGCTCCTGCTCTTCCTCCTCCTCCTCCTCCTCCTCCTCGACCTCGTCCTCCTCGACCTGTTCCTCCTCCTCGTGACCTCCACCACCATCACGATCACCATCACCATCACCATCATCATCATCATCATCATCATCATCATCATCATCATCATCATCATCATCACAATCAACACCATCATCCTCATCCTCATCCCCATCATCATCCTCATCCTCATCATCATCCACATCATCAGCCTCATTATCATCACCACCATCATCATCAGCATCACCACATTATCATGTTCATCGTCATCATCATCATCATCATCATCAGCATCATCATCATCATCATCATTATGACCAAACTCATCGTCGTTGTCGTTGTCGGTGTCGTCGTGATCATCATCGCCAGCATGATGAACGTCGTCATCGTTATAATCATCATCGTCGTCGTAATCGTGGTAGCCGTCATCCTCGTCGTCCTCCCCCTTATCCTCCTCCTCCTCATCAACATCATCATCGTCATCATCATCAACACCATCATCATCATCATCATCATCATCATCATCATCATCATCATCGTCATCAGCAACAGCATCACCACCATCATCATCATCTCCTCCTCATAGTCATCAGCACCATCATCACCATCATCATCGTTAGCACTAGCATCACTATCACCATCACCATCAGCGTCATCATCAGCAGCAGCAAAATCAGCGTCACCATCGGCATCAGTATCACCACCACCACCACCACCACCATTATCACCACCACCAACAATATCATTGACATCATGAGCATCCTCATTATCACCATCACCATCCGCAACATCATCATCAGCAGTATCAGCAGCATCATCATCATCAACATCATCGTCAACAGCATCATCATCATCAGCATCATCATCATAACCAACATCATCAACATCCTCATCCTAATCACCATTCTCATCAACATCATCAACATGTCCCTCATCAACATATGCGCCCTTCTCATCGTTCTCGTCATCATCCTCTCATACAGTCATCACCATCATATCTATATTCATCACCATCATCTGAATCATCCTCGTGGTGGTCATTATCGTCATCAGCAGCATATCATCATCATCAGCATCATCACCACCATCAGCATCGTCCTCATCAGTAACATCATCACCGCCATCACCATCACCATCACCATGACCATGACCATCACCATCACCATCACCATCCTCGTCATCATCATCATCATCACCATCATCATCGCCATCATCATCGCTTTCGCGTTTTGCTCTGGACTCGCCCCGGTAGAAAGCACCTGATGCCCATGACGTCACCAAGCATGCTGAGAGCCTGGTCTCGAGGCTGGCGCGGCTACCACGCCCGCCACTTGGCCCAGGAAAACTCAGCGGACCTCCTCGGAATCGAAGCCCTGATACCCGCCCAGAAAACCGAGGCTCAGGCGGGGGGCTCCGCGGGGGTCGTGCGAGGGATGGGTTGCTGGGCTGTTGGAACACGCTGGGCACATTTGCCAGCCTTGAGAGGCCTTGAGCGCACGGATCCTGCCAGAGGCTTGGTGTCTGGGGCACTCCCCCCCCCAAGGTCAGAATTTGACGCCGAGCGCACGCCTCACAAACGCTGCAGCAGACCAGACCGTCGGGCCCCAGAGACCGCCGCAGCCACCGCAGCCAGTGAGAGCGGTGGACCTGGTCAAGCTTGCCAGGCAGTCCGGGCCAATGGGGGGTGCACGACTCGGCCCCGAGACTTGCGTCTCTTACCGACCCGCTCGGAACCTCAACTGATGCCCAGTGGGATCCGACACGACCTCCAACGGGCCAAACGACTGGCGCAAGCGAGGCTTCGAGGCATCAGGGAACGCGGCGGTCGCCAGATGGCCTGGGATCCGACTGGTGCGCAGACAGATGAAGTACGAGGTCTACCACGTCAGAAGCCAATGTGCCGCGACGTGTCGTTGACCATTGCGCCCCTCTTCGACACGGTATCGGCGAGCTGAGTCGCACGAAAGTCTAGCCAGGGAGCTACCCCCTC